CGATCACTTTATCTAAGACGGGCGGGTGGAAGTGTTTACACCTTATCAATCCACCTTGGTTGTACCTATTGTAAATTAATCAAATAAAAAAAAAACTTTTTTATTTTTTAATATATTTACGTTTTTACATACCTACCTGGCTACCTACCTCCTTACCTACGTATATGGTATATATTAAATTCATATTTTTCAAAACAACAACACATAGGTACATTACATACATTGGCATGTTAACGCCTACATATCATAGTGTTGCATAATATGGCATAGGTACCTGCTTACACTACCTAGTATGAGTAGTGGCAAAGCTGGGCAAGTATATTTTTTTAACGCTTTCAGTGAAGTTGATATAGAAAAACAAAAGTTAAGTTTAAAGTTAAAAGTTACCTTTATTTTTTGTTAGCTTGTAAAAATTACAAGTTGAAAAATTAACTTAACTAAGTTAAAAATCAGTTACTTATTTTGTCATATTACATAATGGGCGCGTGTGGTAGAAAAGACAGAAAATCAACGATTTCTATTCTCTTTAAATATCGTCCATTATTCACCTAATGTCAACATGATTAGGATAGTCCATAGGTAGTAGCGCGTAGGATTTAGGGGCCGATTAGGTAGGTTACTCGCCGATCGAAGTTCGATACCTGAATACGGGTTGTGTTATTTTGTTATATTTTTTCCAATTATTAGTTATGTTTCAAAAGAGGTTTCAATAAAACGTTCTAACTATGTTTGCAATGAAACACAAATATAACTTTTTATAATAAACACCATATTGCAGTTGCACTAGTTGCAGGTATCTTAGAAATTAACAGATCTATAATGTTGATGATTGGGTTGCAAACACCGGACATTAGCAGTATCAGGGACATCACATAAACGCAAATTCAACATGTAAATTGATGTTGCATGTTATACTGAAACATACCTTGTATGTTTAAAGTACAGATTATTGTACAGTGTATATGCAATTAGGAAATTGTGCTCGTTGTTGATAACCTTCGGCGATTTCCAGCCATTTCTTTTTATCTTTTATTGGTATACATTCATCGTGCATAACTTCCCATATTTGCAAACACACTGTCCGTATAATACCACATAAAGTCGATCTACCAATTCTAAATTCGTAGTGTAAATCTTGAAGACTGTTTGTACTACTCAGGTATCTGAAAATTAGAAAATATTTATAAAAATATAAAATAACAAAAATGTTAAAAGAAACTACAAAATAAGTTTAAATTTCACGATTTTATCATATTTCGTAAACATTTGAACTTTCAACGCTTATAAAAAAAAGAGACATACGAATTTTGATTTTTTTTAATGACAATTAGAAACGGGTGTGAAGTCGGGGGACCATAGCTAGGGGACTATTTTCTCGGACGACTAGTGATAACAGTCCTTGTGTGCACGGTTGCGTTTTATTATATTTAAGGCACTCGACAAATGTACTACCATCAACCACGAGGTGGCGCCATGAAATTCACTTACATCATTATGTGCCGTATATTAATGCGACCGACCGGCCCAGGGGACCATGTTTTCGTACTGCCGCGTTTTTGTTGTATAAATACCTACTTTGATTATAGAAATACATATAAACCCGAGCCCTAGTAAATTACCATTATACGTAATATGCTATGTGACAAATTTTGATTCATAATTGTATAGTCTTATGTATTAAATCTAAAATGTGAAAAGGATACAACAGTATTGTGTTTAATAACAGATTCAACGATGATTTCTCGTCATAGATCATAATGCTTTAACAGTAAATGTAGATGGCTGGAATGGATAAATGATTTATTCTTGTCATCAAATTAATTTTGTAACATATGCATTGAAATCCGCTATTCATGCTGAAACTCAATTAAAAAATATACATTTCTATTAGCTATAAAGGAATGTTTTTATCGTTACTAATCATATTTTACAGTAACCAATAACAATTTAAAAAGTAACCGTTATTAGTAATTATTCAATGAAATATTAGGGTACAATGGACAATGAGATTTGTGTAGTATGCAAAAACCATATTGGTAATAAACTTACTGATACATATATAATTGTATAACTATAAGGATAATGGTTTATATAAAAAAAAAACATTTAAACACTTTACAACATTACAACAAATTACATGGGGCTAACCTAACCTAACACTATTCAGGATATGTGTTGTTTTTTGAGGAAAAACAATATTTTCAGTGGTTAGGCCTCTTAAGGGCACCTAATTTTTTTTTTTGCACCAGGATGCAAAATATCTAAATGCGTCACTGTACATAGTTGAATAGTTCTTAAGCATTACATTTTTATATTTATATTACAAATAAATGTATTAATATTCATTGTAAATTAGACAATAAATTAGGTAATATTTTACAATAAATATAGTTCTATAAAATGTGATGTAAACATACCACAGAAAAATCATAATATAGTATAATTACTAATGCCTCAGGTGACTCCTCATCACTATGTGGAGAGGGAAACAGAATAACATGACATAAATATTACATACTTAAATAATGAATAAAAGACTTACATTTCTACAACTATTCAGTATAGTAGACGGTAGTTTTTAGTTACCTGTTTCCGTAAAAAGTGATGTTTTGAATACTTCCAAGACAAATTACATGTTTAAACTGTTATTAATTAATGTAAAAGTAAAATGAATAACGTGTGTTAGATTGTATAGTCTTTAGAGGAATTTTGAATTTATAACCTAACTTTCCATTATTGTTGATTTTTCATTGATGACAATATTATGTCAGTATGTTCGGTATAATTATCCTGGTAATGACGCCAATAGAATTTATTTATATATACTTTTAAAACTGTTACTGTGTAACATAGGGCGACATCTACTTGACGGTTTCGGTGCAATAGTACGACACCCCTGAACTTATATAAAATGCAACACAACGTACAAGGTTTCTTATCTAGTCGTCCGAGTAGATAGTCCCCTAGCTATGGTCCCCCAACTTCACACACGTAATTAGAACAACCTATGAGAATAATTGTATTACATAATCAAAATTTTTTGGCCGGAAAATTTTTTTTTATAGACATTTCAAAAAGAAAAACTAAGAAAAATCAAAAATTTAAGTTGTCCATAAATAGCTCAAAAAACCTTAACATCTTTCAAAAGTTATACCATGTTATACCTTAGATAATGCCAATATAAACATTTGGTAAACATTTTAAGTATCTACCATGATTAGTTTTTTAGTAAAATACAGCTAAATTAATACAGTAAATTACAGCTAAATAAAATCATTGATTTTGTCGAAAATTTCTCATTTTTCCTCATATTATAGAATGCTATAAACGACGTATAGTAATAGTATATAGCATAAAACTAAATCCTGCATTTTTTTATATTTGTTTAACACAGTACAAGATCTTATGCCAAAATGGAGAAGTGTACGTGATAATTATATTCGTAGTTTAGGTTTGCCATACGTCCCGATTTGGCCGGGACAGAATCGGTTTTGGGTATGACGTCCGGTGTCCCGATAATGTGTTTCGGGACAGCATATTGTCCCGGAATGAGACTTTAATTAATTATAAGTGTCTTTTATTAGACATTTGATGAAAAAAAGTAACAAGTAAGATCTGATATAATTATGAACAAATATAAAAGGTATAGTTATAAAATAACAAGTTGAATAATTGACAAAACCTATTTTTAAATTATTTTCAAGTTGAAAAAATCTTTAGATCGTAGTATACTTGGTATGGGATGTTTTGCACACATAATTCATCACGCTATACAACAAGCTGCAGATTCACTCCCAATTGATGTCGAAAGCGTTGTTTGCAAAATATATGGATACTTTCATATCTATACTGTTCGTGTAGAAAGTCTAAAAGAGTTCTGTGATTTTGCAGATGTACAATATAATGATTTGTTATCGCATTCCAAAACTAGGTGGCTTTCATCATATCCAGCTATAGACAGAATTATATCTATTTATAGTGGGTTTCAATGGAACACGTGTTTTTTTGCACCCGTGTATCCGTGACACGGATGCACGGATATATATTTTGAACAAACACGTATTTCACGTGACACGTGAATTCCGTGATGACATTCACGTGAATTTACAAAATACGTGAATTCCGTGATTTATATTCACGTGCTCCGTGATTCGTCTTATTTTTAAATTTTTATCGGTTTTAATAATAACTATAGGTGGATTAAATAGATATTATGTATTATCGCATATTTAGTCAATAGTCGATACCTAGTGCATAATACATAATGGTACTCATGTCACATTGACAACTCATGAAGTTGATGAGCGACACACAGCTGTGAATTTAGCACATCATTTAAAAAAATCACTTATAGAGTGGGAAGTCGATAAAAAAATTAGTTCAATTGTAACAGATAATGCAGCAAATATCATCAACGCTGTATCACAGTTAGAATTGAATGATAATATGGAAAAATATGGATTAACGTGTGCAGCACATTCTTTGCAGCTGGCTGTTAATAAAGCTCTTTTGGACGATGAAATTCAAAGAATTTTAACAAAATCAAGTAAAATTGTTTGGCATTTTAAACATTCATCGATATCAATGAAGAGTTTGGAGAAAACACAACAACAATTAAATTTACCAAAATTAACTCTTTTATGCCGGGTTGCATGAACGTTCATTAAATATTTAATGAACCAATAGTACGCTATTGAATGAATAAAAAGTTATTCATCCACTAAATGTTAAATAAACGTTCAATAACGTTATTGAGTCATTAAACTATTGGTTACCGGTCAATTAAACTAATGATCCGATTTCGGTTGAATACAAATTTATTCGTTCATTAAATAGTAGTATACAGTACCTACGTCCGTTACTACCTATGCGTCTTGTGAATGCGTTACACCACTTACACACTCTTACATGTTACATTCTTGAATTTTTCTTGCTTACCACGTATATAATTAATTATTAATATTTAATACATCGCAAAGTAATTAAATACACTTTGAAAAATGACTGATTCCGACTCATCTAATTCTGATGATGAAATGGTGTTGGATGTATTATTTTATTTACCCAGACCAAGATTCTTTCGGGATAGGTCAAACCCATTGGAGGATTTCGACGATTTTGATTTTAAAAGTAGGTTTAGGTAAGTAACTAATAGCTATAATAACCAATAAGTTAAATAAAATGTAAATCGTACCTAATTTGATACACAATAAATGCATTTTTTTACAATAGACTATCAAAGGAAACTTTTGTATTTTTATTACATTTAATTGGAAACGATTTGCGACGTTCTACAAATAGAAGCTTCGCCATTTCTCCAGAAATACAAATTTTGGTGACTTTAAGATACTATGCTACAGGTACCTTTCAAGTATGTATAGTGTAACCTACATCAAAATGTATAGTACCTACCTATATTTTTATTTGTTTTTCTAAATGTAACGTTATATATTATGGTAAAGTTACTGTTGAACTGAACACATGTGTTGATGCATTAAGATTTAAGACCTCCGCTCTGGTCTATAATAGTGGAAATTTGCAAATTTTTCGCTGCCATCCAAGGCATGTATTAGTCATAAATGATTATATAAGTCTGTGCCTGGTTTTAAAACCAATTTAAAAAAAAATTTCCGAAATCAGTTAACTACGTGGCAGTGGCGTGCTAGGCGAGTTTTTGATCGAAAAAATCGGTTACGGGCAGCCCTTAGGGGGACGTCGCACACTCGCACCCTCAAATTATGTTGTCTTGTTGTCTCCGTCTTACACAGTGGCGTAGCCAGGAATTTTGTATAGGGGAGGGGGCTAAGTATACAAATACAATATGTCTTTTATTTACACTTTTTATAGCCCCTTAGCCACCCCCTGGTCTTACATACGTACGCATTGCACATTTTAAGCTCAGCAAATCACGTTTAGCTCCGTTATTTTAAAAATAAAAGTGAATATAAAATTATAAAAATAATCTTATAAAATTCAAAGGTAAGATCTAGATATTATCTATAGTGAATAATCACGTAGGCTTTTTTATTATATTTTAATTTTAAATCGAGTTATAAATATTTTAAAATTGTAAATTGTTTGTAGGTACATCTTAAAATTAAAAATACTTATAACTCGCTTTAAAATTAAAATATAATAAATAGCCTATGAGATTTCCTAGATAATAATCTTACATTTTAATTTTATAAGAAGTCAATTCACTCTTATTTTTTAACTAACGGATCTGAACGTGATCTGCTGAGTGTAAAATTATTATTTTTAAAATTAACTTCTAAAATAATATCCTTTAAAGGATTTGATTGTTATAACCGTTCCTCTTTAACTGTTAAAAATTGAACAAGTACTTTTCTATTGTACATAGTCACATACCTAGGTAACTGTCTACTATAATCCTTTCTTTCCCTATATTCCTTAATAAAGGCCGTTATTGGAGATCACGTACACGTCCATAAGTCAACAATATGCCGAACCATAAAACGTGTGTCACTCGCGATTGGTCGTCTTCGTCCGCATTTTATCAACATGCCTAGGGATGCTGAAGAAATTCAGAAAGTTCAAACAGGTTTTTTCAGATTGAAAGGATTTCCAAGAGTGGTTGGGGCAGTAGACTGTACCCACATACGTATACGGTCACCAAACAGCAATATTGGAGAAAGATTTCGAAATCGGAAAGGGTATTTCTCCTTCAACGTACAGGCTATATGTGATAGCAACTTAAAAATCATGAATATTGTTGCACGGTAAACATAACTATTTAAAAAATACATTTTAATAATTACAATTTACATACGTACTTAAATGAACCTATTGGTGGAGCATAAAAGTGATTTTTAAAAACATCCCCTGAAACTTTTTGTGCCTACCTACTTCATAAATTTAAAATGTTACCTTAAAAACAACCTTATTACCATTAATTATAAATAGTATTATTTATAGTGAAATTAATTGGTATAATTTTTACTGTATGTATGTACTGTTCTTGTATTATGATACTATGATAGTATAATAGAACAAACTAATACACAAAGGTATTGTTCATCTAAAATGTTGTTGTAGGTGGCCAGGTTCTGTTCATGACAGTACAATTTTTGATAATAGTATGTGTAGGGCTCAGTTTGAAAATGGAGAATATGGAAATAGTTTTTTACTCGGAGACGGAGGCTATCCATGTCGTGATTACATGATGACTCCTCTTCTTCGTCCCGTTACTGAAGCTGAGAAGAGATATCAGGTATTAGTATATTATTTATTGTTAGGAAACATTTAATACTACCATTCATAGAAATTAAATTTCTCTCTTTTCACTCTTAATTTTCCACAATCTGGTTCAAATATAATTTTAAGTTATAAGGAATTAAAATTAAATTAATCTAATACATATTTTTTTTATGATTTGTGCTTCATTAAAATATCTCCGACCACCTTCATTAAAATAACTTCCAGATAAATTTAATTTAGTTTAACAATTATGCATTTAAAAATATCATTTTTTATCATAGAAAGCTCATATTGGTACAAGAAACGTTGTAGAAAGACTATTTGGTGTGTGGAAAAGGAGATTTCCGGTGATAGCTGTAGGAATACGCACACAGCTTAACACGACTATGACGACCATTGTTGCCACAGCTGTTTTATACAACATTTTAAAAGAACAAGGTGATGAAATGCCAGCCGACGAATATGCCGTAGATAATGACTTACTTCTGGAAATTGATATGAACCCTGTAAGGCAAACAGGCAATTTAGTCAGAGGACAGTTAATTGACCTGGTATTTACATAAAAACCATTTTATAGCGGTATCAGTTAGTTGTAGTATGTATATTATTTGTAAATTTTTTGTATTATTCATTAGATTTGTTTATGTATACTAAATTTAAAATTGTATATTTATTTTTCAAGTATAATAAATAAATTATTATTATACAGTTTTGAAAATGAAAATAAATATTTTTATACAGTTATAAACTTATAAAAATGAAAATAAATATTACTTATGTAAAAAAAATCAACTAATTTTATTATATAATTTTAATATTATACGAAATACTTAAATTATGAACAGTAAGTTTTAAAAATTGCTATAGTTTAATTATTTATACGATTATACTTGCAAATATATATTTACTCAAGTCCAAACATTTTTTTTTTGTGCTTGAGTTCTAATAATAATATCTCTTCTTTAAATTTGTTTTGACGAGATTCACTTTCCAATCTTTCAACTTCAAATTTTACTTTTTGTGTCATAAGTGTTTTTTCTAGTTCACTTACTTCAAGGTCAACTTTTGCTTTTTTTAACCTAATACTGTGTAGTTCATCTTCAAATTTTGTGGTATTTTCTGTTTTTGCTAATCGCTTGTTATTCAAAATAGATAAACCTTCGTACACTTTCTTGGAACTTATCTGTTTAGATTCATTAACATTAATAATATTTTTTGATTTAGAGGAGATTAAATTTTCAGACAAATTGGATTTAGGAGTACAGGATGTTGAAGGAACGGATTCATTTAATGATCTGGATTGTGGTTCAAGGGTATCACATGTCACTTCATAATTTTGTAAAACATATGCTAAAGCAAAAAAATCAAAAAATTAAAAGCAAGCAACAAGTCAATCATATTGTTAAATAATCATCAGTAATAAATAAAAAAAATTATATACAAACCATTAGTGTTGGGAAGTAACTTAAGCTATAAGTAGCTGTAGCACAATTACTTTTTATGCAATTTGATTACATTTGATTGTTAGTAATTTATATGTAATTAAAGTTACTTTTTGTACTTACATAATTACATTAATAAATAACTCGTTACTTTTTTTTCCGCAACACCAACATTTGTTATTTGGGCGTAATATAGCAACTAAGGTATTCCATACTTCCGCGATTACTAGGTACTCTCTGACTCTCTAGTTCGGTTTAGAGCAAAAGGATCTATTATAAGTTGTATACAGAAAGAAAAATATTCAGTCAATGAACTTAATATTCTTCTTTAGAAAACATATAATAGTTCCTTTACCCTGTACTGAATCAGAGGGTCACCATTGTGAAAGTAAGGAATACGTTTGTTGCTAAAGTACATGCAAATAACAAATTTTGATGTTGCAGATCCTCATTCACATGGGCGCAACTAGAGCAAAATTAATGACGTGCTAAAACCTAAAGTACAACATGAAAACCCTCCTTTCTTATTTAAGATAAGCAAAATAATTATACACTAAAATAGTAAAATGTAATGTTTTTATTTAAGAAGATGTCAGCGGCCACTAAGCACACTATTTGTTTTCTCTCTCTGGCCCACGCGCGACACAGACACAACTCATTTACGCAGAATAATTTTTTATATCTAGGAAAAATTACACCTACTGATTCTACTTATTTGTGTACACAGTACAATTAATACAATGATAAACCAAATGTAATAAACGTATTTGATGTTTCCATTGACCATAACAAATTAAAATAACTTAGAAAAACAATATATTTTGATAATTTATCATAAATTATTATTTATAAAATCAGAAGTTTTACTATTACCAATATTGTAAGAAACCGGCACAGAAAATTTGGGAGTGCTAGGCACTCCCAAGCATCCCCCCCACTAGTTAGTAGTTGCGCCCATGCTCATTCATTATTTATTCTTACCTGATTCACGATTATACAAATTGTTTGATGTTCCATCATCTACAGTATCTTCCACATCTATACTTTGATGCCCTAATAAAATGATAATATTTATATATTTAATTTTGTTGCAAATTAATTTATGTATTATAAATTGACATTAATAACATATTTGTATAACATACCAATTGACATTATGGACCATGATATACCAATGTAATAAAAATATTTACCTACCTGTATTGTAGTCACCGTCACAATCTATTACATTAATCAATGGATCCAATTGTTCTCCCAGTAAACCAAAAATTTTTTCCGTAGATTTTGAAATACTTGGAATGTGTGTACCTCCGCCTGTTATATACCTTTGTACCTATATAGAATATAAATAAAATTAATATTTTTTTCAATCAGTTCTCAATAAAGAGATAAGTTGAATTATAATCATAAACAGTAAATACAGTTTATAATTATTATATAAAACAAAATTTGAAATTTGAATATTATACAACATTTAATTTCAATACAAAATAACCAATAAAGTAAAAATTGCATGTTATTTTAGCAATATTAAATTATAATACATCAAAATAATAAATTTACCTTATCATGACTTTTTTCTTTCCTAGCATCTCTTTTCAGTCCATCGTACAAATGTTTTAATTGTACATCAATTCTGATGCCTGATTTTTGTTGCATATTGTACAAACAAGTAATCTCAGACCAGGCCTCAGTTTTCTTTTGGTTCCAAACCGCATCAGTCTGAATAAAATATTTTAAAAACAATTAAACTTAAAAATAAAAAGATATTTAATAATTATTATTTAGATGCCTAAATTAGTTTTATATATTTTATTATTAGGACTGAGGACTACTATACTCTTATTACTACCACAGACCTTTAGTCTTTTTCATAACATTTTAGTAAGGTAGCAGAACTATAACATGATAATAATCAGGGGCGGACTGGGCTAAATATATGATATCATGCATATTTTGAAAGTAAAAAAGTCCTCAGTCCCAACAATTATTATGTATTATAATGTATATTGTCTATGTATTATAGGTACATACAATAAAAATATTCTTAAAATCGATTTCAGTTGTCTGAATAATGTATACAAATCAACAAATTGACAAATTACATTTTTAAACCGTCATCAACTGACAACTATACTCATAAACATGGTATAATATATTGGTACCAATATTTTTCAATTTTATCGAATTGATGTATGTATAGTTTGACTTAAAAATACATATCGATATATACGTACACAAAAATAACACAAATTAGATACTTTAATAGGTACTTACTTTCATGTTTTCAATTATTGACTTGAAAGGTAATATCAAGTCAATTAGCATATCTTTCTCCCATTCTGTAAAGTTTTTTCCCCGTTGCCGTTTTAATTTAAAATCACTTACATTTACTTCTGACATTATTATACTGTACTTATTACGGACGTAGGACGTAGGTAAACATAAAAACACTTTAAATAGTTAGGTACTAGGTAGTATAATATTATACAATATAAATGCACCGAACTACCGATTAAATTTTCAAACTAAAACAACAGCTGATTAGTTGTTATCAATTTTCTGTGATAAGCTTCAGACTTCAACATAAACCTTGGTATCATGTTTGAAACCAATACATTTTTATTCAACTGTTTGTGCAACCCAAATCGCTTAATAAAATTATTTAATGATTCAATAAAACTATTCATTAAATAAATTTAAGGAACGGTTTCATGCAACCCGGCATAAGTGACGTTTGCCGACGGAGGCTACGGTTATGTACAGTCTCCACAGAGAATCGCGCACGCGCTATTCCCATATTTTATGTGCGTCTGTGTGTGTACATTTGTGTACACATGTAACGTATCGATAAGGCGGCGGCCGCGGCAGTAAAGTTGCCTCCTGAGAAAGTGGGTAGCCGCCGCCGATACGGGACGCATGGAGGGGCAGCCGTACTATGTAGACGTGTATATAGTTGTGCGCCGTGCCGCTCCTACTTTTAAAAATCGCTGTTAGCGACAACGACTCGCGCAATGCTGTGGACGGGAAGGAGCAAACTCACAATATACTATCTCGTACAAATATTGTTACGAATTTAATGCGAAATGACGCGATATATATTTTTATAATAACTCTAAAGGTATATACAAAACATGGTTACATGAATATAAATAAATGTAGGCGCCGTGGGCCGGTAACCACGCGCTACAACCAATAACAATAAGTGATAAATAATTACAATAATTATAATAAATATGAATAATTCATAAGTAGACAAACAAAAGAAATAATATGACCTGATCGACCTCCGGCGTTGGTCACTGGACAGCACGCGGTCCTCGCTGGAAATGCGACAGCGTCTTGATGTATATATAATTCGACATATAATTTAATTCGGTGGTGGGCCGCGACACTGATCCGTCAAACCCCGACTGTCTCAGCGTTTACGACGGTATCGATGTGCACCAAGTATAATAATCAAAAAAAAACAATACTGCATCAATGTCAGCTGACCACGAGGTCAAAAACAGCCACACGATGCGAAGCGAACCGGCGGTACCTACGTGACCCGCCAAGTTCAAGCGTAGGCAAAAAACAAACAGACAGAGTCCCCGGCACGGGGGCCGTGGACGGTGGACGCCAGCCGGCGTGTGGACACCGTGGAGGGGGAACGACTCTTCGCGAACATTCCGCGCCGGCCACGAGACTTGTAAAGCCTTTGGACTTTGGTAGATTCGGCGGGAAGTTCAGCCGCGTTCGAACAATAGTAATACAGTATATCAGTAGGTATAATAATAATATTAATATTATATTCGCGATTCGCCAGTTGCGCACTTGCGCGCGGGAAATGGTCACTGGCCAGTCTCTTACTTGTGACTTATGAGCATCACGCCCATCACGGTCTTGTTTAAAGACCTAGAATTGGCATGGTACCCTCCATAGTTCCTTCAATACATAATTTAAATATATATTTTATTTATTTCCCTTTTATAATAGTGTCTATATTTGAAAATATAAACACACAACATTTTATAATTTAAATAATATTAATATTATATTATATTTTATTTAATTTTATATTATATTTATGTTATTATATTCTCTTATTTTCAAGGGAGGCATTGCCCTCGTACATTTAC